TTTTATCTCTCTCTCTCTTACTCTCTCTCTCTCTCTCTCTTACTCTCTCTTACTCTCTCTCTCTCTCTCTTTTTCATTTTGTTGGCAGTCATAAAGGTGTGAATCTCTACGAGGTTTTCTTAAAAAAAGAAAAGAAAAGGAAAAAAAAAAAAAAAAAAAAGGAAAAAAAAATCTTTCTTCTCTTTATTTTCTTATTTGTCTCTTATTTTTTCCTCTTCTTTTTTTCTTTTCTTTTTAAAGGAAGAGAAAGAGAAAGAAATAAATCGATATCCGGGTTAAAGGAGTATTGATGGAGATTGAGGGTTTTGAGAGTTGAGAAGAGAAGAGAGACGGCGTGAATGGGGGCGGAGTGGGGGTGGGTGGGGGACGAAAGTCATGGTTACCGTAAAAAAAAAAAACATGCAGATTTACCTTAGCTATACATTGAAAAATCTCTCGTTGGAAAATCTTCCTCCACCCCTACCTCTTATCCCTCCTCCGTCACCCTAACTCATCCTATCCCATTCTCCATCCCTTTTCAACGTAAGATTCTAGTAAGTTTGTGTGAACGTATACGTATATACATTAAGGTACATACATACACGCATACGTACATACATACATACATACATACATACATACATACATACATAGATACATACATATATACATACACGTATACCTTTGTACATTCGTCTTTCGACATATATCTTACACATATGTAAGCTATAGTACGTGAATATCTACTATAATACATACATAGATAAATATTTGAACGTTTTCCCTCATACACATATACTCGTAAAGAAGAAGAAACTTTATCTGCCGTAGAAAATACGAGTTTCATGGTATATCGTCAAATTTTCATCCGTCTATCTACTTTGTGTCCTTTTCTAACGACGCCATGCAATCTTCTTATACATTAGTAATGATCTGACAGGTATATTCTACTTTCTTATAATACTTTATACGAGTTTTCACGTAAAATTGGAAAAGTAATAGAAGATAGAGATAGAGATAGAGAGAGAAAGAGAGAGAGAGAGAGAGAGAGAGAGAGAGGAAATTCAATTAGAAAGTTAATTATAATTATATCGATCGTTAGAGGTGGAGGAAAAGAAAAAAGAAAATAATTAATCATTTTCATAATATTTTTTGCCACGGTCATAAAATATTACATTATCATTATCGTTTAATAAATATTTCAATAATTCTTATCAAATTAATTGTTCACATTCTTATTACGTCCAATCAATGTATCGTGTATTTATAAATATATAAATAGAGAAAAAAAGGAAAAGGATGAATTTTTTTTTCCTTTATCCTTTTTTTTTTTTCTTTTTCTCCTCTCTCCTTCAAAATTATCATACTTAGATACTTTAGTTTCGTGATATATCTATCGTTTGGAAATAAATAATAATTTTTTTCTTTTCTTTTGCTTTTCATTTTTTATACTTTTAGATCGATATATACACACACACACACACACACACACATATATATATATATACATGTTAAGGGACAAGAGATAGAAGCGTCTAATTCTATTTTATCATCTAATATATCCGCAAACGAGCAAAGTGTGATCTCGTGGGAAGGCCTAGATAGAGAGTAGAATAATTCGAAGTGTTTCTCAGGTTCACGTTAGTCGTCGTAGTAGTCGTAGTAGTAGTCGTAGTGATAGTAGTAGTAGTAGTCTCTCGAACAAGTATCTAATAGAAGCGAGTAGCTACGCGTACGCGTTTCTTCTCGTTAGTAATTTAGTTTCGAAACGAAGTTCGCACCTCACCTCCTCCTCTTAATGGCTCGCACGAGAGGTAGTCGATTATACGTTCTGACAATTTTCACGGGGTCTTTCATCTTATTTAAAGGTTATTTCGTATCGTTGTCTAGTTTGGACGACGATAATATTTAATAAATTCTTCGTGCGTCGAGAATTGAATTAAATCATTTAAGAGAAGAAGTTTTATAAGCGTACGCGTTAACTGACGTTAAAATCTTTACCACGAAAGAATAATAGCGAATGAACGAACGAACGAACGAATTAATTAATTAATTAATAACATCAATTAATCGAATTGAATTCAATATTACGTTAGATCGTATTTAATTAACGTCGAACAAGTGGACTAAGAGATCATTTGTTCCTTTTTTTCTTTTCTTTTTTTTTTTTTTTTTTGTTTTTCCTTTTTATTATTATTATTATTATTATTTCATCGCCAATTGTCGATTATTAAACGTGATTTTGATGGGGAGAAATTGAAGAGGAGATTAAAAAAAAAAAAAAGAAAAAAAAAAGAAAGAAAGAGAGAAAAAAGGAGGAAGAAGAAGAAGAGGGGAAAAGAGAAGGACGAATAAAAAAACGATAATTAGCAAGTATTTAATGAGAAATAACAAAGCGTTAAGAATGTACGATGTGTGTTTGGTAAAATGTCGAGTGTAAGAGTTTTTCTGAATGTTCGTTGTTATGCTTCACGGTTTAGAATTTTTTTTTCTTTTTTTTTTTTTTTTTTAATTATATTCTGGATTGGCTGGAAAAGGGAGGGTAAAAGAAAGAGAGAGAAAAGAAAAGGAGAAAAGAAAAAAAGAAGAGAAAAATGGAAAAAAAAAGAAAAGTGAAGAAGGGTGAAAGAGAAAAAATACGAATAATCTATGTGTGGGAGAAGGCGGTTGGGGTGGGTGTGGGGGAGGGGGAGGGCAAAGAGAAAACCCCGTATACACTTGTTTTAGCTTGTCAGTTAATGCATTGTTCGGAGTTTTCGGTCGAAAGAGGTCGGCCCGAGGCCAAAGTAGCACGATTATACGAAAGTGCTATACTAAATATATATATATATATATAAACATATATGCATATATATATATATATATATATATATATATATATATATATATATAAAGGCACGCTATTAAAAGCTTTCTTCCGTATGCCGCGTAACACGCGTCCTTTTGCGTTGATGCGATTGTTTAAAATAAATAAACAAAAAAAAAGAGAGAGAGAGAGAGAGAGAGAGAGAGAAAATAAAAAGGATGAAGGCAAAATAAAAAAAAATAAAAAAAGAAGTTATATAACAAAGTAGGTCGAATTTCGTCGAAACCACAGAGGATGAGAAAGACAGAGAGAGAGAGAGAGAGAGAGAGAGAGAGAGAGAGAGAGAAACATGGGGCAAGTCCATCGCATTGTCGACCATTAAATATTTCCGTGTCGTATTTAACCCAGTTCTTCAAATTCGAGGTCAACCTGTGAGAGAACATGGTGATCGAAGGGGTAGGTAACGGGGATGAATTTTATATATATGTGTGTGTATGTGTTTGTGTGTATGTGCGGAAGATTTTTAACGAACATAATTATAAAGACGGATTACTCGACGTTGTCTTTCTCGAATAATTCTTTTTTTTTTTTTTTGTTTTCTTTGTTTTTTATTTTTTTTTCGTTGTTTTCACCTTTTTTCCTTTCTTTTGTCCTTGTTATACGCTCCTTTCTTTTTTTTTTTCTCTCTCTCTCTCTTTTTCCTCTATATCGTGCAATTAAACATTTTCATATTGACTCGTCAACTCGAGCGTGTATATTTACGTATTATATTTTAACAATTTAGCTAGGATGCAAATATTTCTTAAGTAGTTCATTGTGCGAATTTAAATTTAACAATGAAAACAGGATAGTGAGAAGAAGGGAATTATTCAAAACAGAAATATTGCATTTGATTATAATATATATATATATATATATATATATATTTTTTTATTCTTCTTTTTTTCTGCTTTTTTTTCCTTTATATTAAATTATTTCTATTATTCAGATATATGTATGTATATCATGATCATTTGTTAAATTAATAATAGGACAATTCATTCTTTTTTTTTTTTTTTTTTTGAATACAATGACACATTAAATATAAAATATGTTAAGCTTTTATTGAGACAATGCAATTTGTATTAACAAAAAAGAAAAAAAAGAAGAAAAAGAAGAAAAAAGTGAAAGGAAAAAATTGTTAAATTTCTTACAAATTTTAAATGAATGAATGAATGAATGAATGAATGAATGAATGAACAAATGAATGATTGAATGAATGAATTTTTCTGCACATTTATGTACATAAATATCCACTCGATTATTTTTTCTAAGATCTTAGATTATCGTACGAAATTTGAATGAAACAATGAATGAATCAATGAATGAACGAATCTATGAATGAATGAATTAATGAATGAAGGAACAAATGAATGAATCTATGAATGAATGAATTAATGAATGAAGGAACAAATGAATGAATCAATGTATGAATGAATCAATGAATGAATGAATTAATGAAAGAATGAATTTTTCGATACATTTATATATATATATATATATATATATATATATATATATATATATATATATATATACCCCATATTTTTGCTAAGATCTTAGATTATCTTACGAATTTTGAATAAATGAATGAATGAATGAATGAATGAATGAATTTTTTTATACATTTATATATATATATGTCCACTCGATTACTTTTTCTAAGATCTTAGATTACCGTATCAATTTGTTCTGTCGGTTTGAAAGAGAGATCGAAGCATTGACGGCAATAAATCGAGCAAAGAATCGATGAAAGGCGACATAACTCTCTCTCTCTCTCTCTCTCTCTCTATCTATCTGTCTCTCACTGTCATTCTCTCATGCAGCACTTTCACGAGAAAGGTTATACAATCTGACATAAGTACGATTTATCTCTGTTCGCAGTTGTACCTGACGTCGAACGTGTCATCGAGCGACTTTAACATGGGCTACAGCATGACGGGTACGTTGGAACGTGGCTGCAAGAAGACTAATTCCTTCCAGATGACCCATTTTGCAGTGATCCGTCGACGGGACTACGAAAAGGCCTATGAAGATCCAAATCCCACCTAGTGTCCGTCCACACCCACACTATCGGAGTGTGGGGATTGCGAACACTATACGTAGGAGTTGCCAATCAGATCAATCCATCAGAATATTTACAGGATGAACCTTATAACGTTAATATATATTTTATTTCATTATCAAAATAATATATACTATTAACAGTATATATATATATATGTGTGTATGTGTGTACATATATCATGAAATTATTCTTTGACAAAAGAAGAAAGAATATTTATTTTCTTATTCATAATATATTATTTTATTTTATTTTATTTTATTTATTTTTTTTTTCTCAGTTGAAACATAAATATATTACTTCGCAAATTTTACAAAATTATATATTCGTAGAACGTAATAATTATTATTTTTATTATTATTATTATTATTATTATCAATCAAAACAGTAAGACTATGAGAGGATTTTAATAACTTTTGATCATGCTTAAAGATCCATGGATTAATTAATTTTTCCAATTGATAACGTTATATGGTTCAACTTGTATATTACATATAAGTGTGTATAAATATATATCTATATATATATATATATATATATATATATATACACATATATATATATATGTGTGTGTGTATGTATTAACATATATTGGGTGTCCTTGGGAGATAAGAGTCCCGGAAGCGACAGGTACTTGAAATTTCGAATCGAAAACACTTGAGAGTAAAAAAGTAAAAAAGAAAGAGAGAGAGAGAGAGAGAGAGAAAAAGAGAACAAATTCCAAACCTCTCCTTCTCGGACTCAAATCCATTCTCTATTCTTTGTACTCTTTCGAAAAATTCGTATTTAATTGTAATAATCTCTGAGTATTATTATCTTCGGAAGATAAACCAATAAGAAGAGAAGAAAGAAAGGTAGAAAGAAAGAGAGATACAAAAAAAAAAAGAAAAAAAAAAGGAAGAAAAAAAAGAAAAAAAGGAAAGAGTTTGCAAAGCCAATGAGAGGAGACACCCAAATAAGAGGAGAAGCAAAAGAGAGCAGCCAAACGTCCAACCGCGTTAGTATTTAATTTTTATTAATGAATTAATTAGCTTCTAAACGGCGACTAACGATATACCTAAGCGAAGTATACAAAGCTACAGTGATCGAGCAACGTTATACCAAAGTATTAGCAAGTAAGATTGTAATCTTTGAGCGAGCCAATGATAATCGCAAATTAAGGTTACCTGATATTATTATTATCACGATTCAAATGAGGATACATTGCTCGTCTTTAAACGGAGCCTCAACAGAAAAAAAAAAGAGAAAAGAAAAAAGAAAAGAAAAGAAAAGAAAAGAAAAACCAACAAAGAGAATCGTTCCTCGTGATCGTTTTTATTCGGAAAAAAAAAAAAAAAAAAAAAAATTCATCTCGAATTGATTGATTATAATTTGACGAATAAATAAAGACAAACGAATCTATTTATATATGTCTAACAAAATTATCGATTAAAATAATCGAAATGATTTGTTATAACAAATCTTTCATTCATTTTTCTTTCACGAATAATTCGATAAAAATTCCAACACACACATATATGTATATATATATATATATATATGTGTGTGTGTGTGTGTGTGTATGCGTGTGTGTGTGTGCGTGTGTGTGTGTTACGTTGCCAAATATTTGTGCCAATGAATCGAGAGCTATTATTATCGACCTGTCATTTGTATCCTCATTGATGAGATTGTCACAACGCAAACGAGCCAAAAAAATGAAAACAAAAAAAGAAAAAAAAAGAAGAAAGAAAGAAAGAAAGAAAGAAACTATGAAAGAAGAAAAAAGAAAGCTTTCTTCGAGCTTTTTTGTGGTGAAGATGATGTCGAAAGGAAACAAAAAAAAAAAAATAAATAAATAAATAAATAAATAATAATAATAATAATAATAATAATAATAATAATAATAATAATAATAATAATAATAATAGTAATAATAATTAAGAAAAAAAAAACAAAAATAAGGAAAAGGAAAAGAAAAAAAAGGAAGCGAAACAAGAAAGAAAAAGGATTAGTATAAGACAAAGATGGAAAGGAAGGAAGAGAGAAAGCAAGAAAGAAAGAAAGAAAAAAAAAAAAGATGAAATAAAGTAAAATAAAATAAAGTAATGTAAAGTAAAAATAAAATATAATAAAAATAAAGCATGCTTCGCGTAATGTAAAATGTATGAGAGAGACCGAATCTGACGTGTAAAAGATCTCATTAAATTATAATAATCCTTGTGAGATTTAACACCGTGTATTTCGGATTAATCAACATTTTACAAATAACATGAATTATTTTTGCTAAGGACTAGGAAGTGCGTCACGTGACTTATGGCCATGTCACGATTCTAAAGCTTAAGATCGATCGTTCGCTTCGATCGAAAAAGAAATCGTAAGAGCGGGAAAAAAAAAAAGAAAAAAAAAAAAAGAAATAGGAAGAGGAGGAGAAGGAGAAGGAGAAGGAGGAGGAGGAGGAGGAAGAGGAAACAGAAAAAAAAAACGAATGAAGAAAAAAGGAACGAAGGAACGATTTCACATATATGAGAAAATGATTTCTAATTTGAACAACGATCGATCGATCGAACGCGTCATCGAAATCCTATTACTCTAATAAGCACAGCTATCGTACCCACGAATCGATTTCCTTGCCTTCCTCGATAGTCGTTCTTGATAAACAAAAGAAACAAACAAACAAACAAAAAAAAAAAAAGAAAAATATTAAAAAGAAAAAAAAAAGAAGTCTCCTTCGATGATCGAGGATCTACATAATATTACATACGTACATACGTACATACGTACATACGTACATACGTACATACATACATACATACATACATACATACGTACATACATACATACATACATGCATGCATGCATACATGCATAGGTAAATACGTATCATATATACATGCATAAATAAATGCCGATTAAAGAGAAAAAGAGATGCGAAGACGCGGAATTAGATACTTATATGAATGATATCTCACATGTGTTTGATAAAATTTATCAGCTGAGATAATCACGAGTATTTAAAAATAATCATTTGTTTTGGCTGATTTGATCTATTTTAAATCGTACATATTATTATTAGAATTTATTACGTGCAATATTAAATATTTCAATGTCTTTGTTAATCGTCCTTTCCTTTTTAAATTTCTTTTTTTTTTTTTTTTTTTTTTTTTTTTTTCTTTTTTTTCGACGCTTTTCTTATTCAATCTTTTTCTTTTTCTTTTCGTTATCTTTTTCCTTTTGTCTTTCCTTTTTTTTTTTTTGTTTCTTTTTCCTTTGTTTGTCTTTTTTTATTTCTTTTTCTTTTATTTGTTTGTTCTTTTTTTTTTTTTTTTTTTTTTTTAACCGAGACTGACCACCGATCAGATTACAAAATTGTTTATCTTATTTTTGTTCTTTTTTCTTTAGAAATCTACTTAGCTCTAGATATTTTTTGTTTTCGTTTTGTTCAAAATTTTCCTCGTATCATATCACAAGTAAGTTTTATAATTTTCACTTTTTTTTTTCTTTTTTCTTTTCTTTTCAAGATTTTTCTGTTTTAATAAATTAGAACATATTAATACGATATAATCTATACATATATATATATATATATATATATATATATATGTATATAGTATTTATTATTTTTAACAAATAATCCCATTGTTGACGATAATGTACGATTTTAAAATTACGAATCAAATGAACAATTACGTGAATAATTAATAAACATAGATAGAGACGTTTAATTGGACGATAAACCATATAAGAGGAATTTTGTTTTCTATGGATTCGCGTCTTCTAATCTTCTAACAACGTAGACGGTCACGTTCCTGAAATCGTACGGAACGAGTAAACGCAAAAGAGTACCTAATTAAGCGGAGTAGATTTTTGCGAATCTCTCTGCCATGCTTATATTAATATATATATATATATATACATATATATATATATATATATATATACATACACAAATACATACATACATACATACATACATCTCATACATACCTAAGTACATAAATGCATACGTATATATTATTATCTTCTATCATATCGTTTATATTCCGCTTGCAATCATTTTAAATTCTTTCTTCTGTAACGTTAGAAAGAGAAAAGAAAAAGAGAGAGAGAGAGAGAGAGAGAGAGAGAGAGAGAGAGAAAAATAAATAGATAGGATAGATAGATAGAAAAGAAAAGAAATAGGAGTTCGAATTCTTGTTCTCCTCTACTCGGATTAACAAGAAGGTAAATGGAAGAGAGAGGTGGTGGTAGGTTGGGAGGATAGAGAGTTGAAGAGAAGAGAATAAGGGTTGATTTGAGAGGGGGGCAAAGGTAATCGAATCCAATCGGATTCGATGTGGCCATTTAGTCGAGTGGAGTTACGTGTTACAGGGTTTTAACGGATTTTTTGTAACTCGAGAACGATCAGAAAGTATTCCTCTCGCTAGTATGTTCGTAAAAATCAAGGACATAACTAATCTAACGATTCCTCTTTCTAAACCACAAAACTCTTTCAACCTAATCTGCATATATATATATATATATGTGTGTGTGTGTGTAAAAAAATGAAAGAGAGAGACAGAGAGAGAGAGAGAGAGAGAGAGAGAGAGAGAGAGAGAGAGAGAGAGAATATAGCGTCCATCTTGTGTGTTACAAAAAAATCGAGTATCCATATTTATATACAGGGTATTTTGAAAGTTCTTAGGTCAGGATAACAAAAGTAAAATTCAAATAATTATTAAAAATCGATCGTTACTCTTTTTTGCGACTTTTGCTTTTTCTTCTATTTTATTTTTTTTCTTTCTTTCTTTCTTTCTTTCTTTCTTTCTTTCTTTCTTTTAACTTTTTTCTGCATTAATTCTCTCCCTCTCTCTCTCTCTCTCTCTCTCTCTCTCTCTCTCTCTCTCTCTCTCTCTCTCTCTCTCTCTCTCTTTTATAAAATTACGAGTTTCGAGAAGAAAAAAAGAAAAATGTAAAAAAAAGTCTCGAAAACGAGTAATTGATATTTAAAATCGTCTAGGAACTTCTTTTTAATCCGTCTGAAAACTTTTCGGACCATCCTGTATATAAATATAATACATACCTATGTATACATACGTACATACATACATATATACATACATACATATGTATATTTATATATATATATATATATA